CTTTCCCTATCTTTTGTATTTACATTACTTTATTCCTTTATTGCATGTTAGGCATGGGAGTAGAGCTGCAGTCCTGAGAGACAGGAGCTGCAGATTGACACTGACAGTCAGCTCTGCGCCCCATGCCCTGTGGGGAGAGAGGAAGGAAAGAAGCAAAACCATGGATCCGCACAGCCCCATATAGCAGCCTCTTGCTAGGGAGCAGCAATTTTGAAAAATGCTCCCAGCTGGGAAGCACATGATGGGTTTGATAGATCATAAAGCTTCTTTTAAAATATCTAGGCTGTAACTGTCTAACATGTAAAGGGCTCTCTTTGCCCTTAGCACCCAATCCCTGGTTGGGTTCTTCTAAAGTGGGCTGGGCCAGCATAAGGCATCTTAGCGTGACTCAGAGATGCACACATATTGTTTGGACTTACAGGGATGCAACTCTGACCCTGTGATGTGACTGTGCTCCAGGCTTGTAGCTAGTTCAATGCCCATGCTATGAAGTCAACTGACAGGTTAGTTATGGATTAGCCAAGAAGCAGGCCAAAAGGCATGGGCACAAAATTTGCCTTCACTGCCACCCAAACTTCAGCATCCCCAGGAGCTTCAGGCCAGAAATAATATTATAGCACAAGACTTGGAGGAGCTACACCACACTACCCCAGTAAAGCAAGATATGTGCTAGGTTGGTGATCTACTTTCCATCTCAAAACTACATAGCAAAATCCCAGGCACTGGAACAAAGTATGGCTCCAGTAGAAAATGAAGGGAAAGCAGGAAAATTTTGATTGGGAGGCATTTGCCTGGCAGCCCACCTGTGCCTGGCACTCTCCATGGTCACCTGGCAAAGCACTGAAGTGTCAACACACTGAAGCTATACCTCAGTCTACAAAGAAGGTATAACAGGTAACTAACTGGTATAGGCCTTCTGCATGGCGTATGTTAATGGAAATAGAGGAAAGGTAACAGTATACGTCACACATGGCAGTGCAGAAGAGGACCGATCTTGGGTAGAAATAATTGCCCATTAGAAATAATGCAGTTCTGATTCAAGGCTAATAGAGAGATCTATGCCATGAAACTACAGCTGGAGTTGTGATCACATGTATTTAACCATTATACACAACTGTTAACATCATTCACTACTTTGTGGTATGGTGGATGCTAAATCTAGGCCATTACATGAATATTGATTTTCATTCTGAACAGCCTACTAATACTATATACTTTTAACATCAAAATTCAATAGATATGATAGGGATCATTAGTAAGCATAATGGGTCAGAAAATTGAATAAAAATAGGGAGGGGAAAAATGCCTCCATTCTTTTAATGAAAAACTGTTTCATTATTCTGTTTTACTGATGGGTCAATTTTTTCCAGCTATTATCACAAAGTTAGAGTGAATGGTTATAAATACAAGAGAAACATATTCATACACTTGCAAACATACGTGGCGTACACGTGCGTGCACGCACACACACACACACACACACAATATATATATATAAATATATATATATATATACATGGGATTTACTAACCCCACAAATACCAAATAATAAATGTTGCAAACCTCCCTATACAGGATGGGGCTCTGGGGGGGGAGCTGGCATGAGTGCAGGTGACAGCTTCAGCAGGTTGAGCCTCTAGCCAACCTTCCTACTCCAAGGCACTTGGGCAAATGCCGTAATCCCTGGGGGAAGCTGCCTCCTGCATCCACAGCTGATGCTGGCACCTGCCTGGCACTGCTTCTGGCACATGGGCCAGATGTGGGATGGTTGCGGGGGAAGGGGAAGGGGGACAAAGGGAGAGACAGAGAGAGGCGGCCCTGTCCATGATGAGTGGCAGTTGGTGCTGGGCACCAGGTAAAATCAAGACCAGCAATGGGCACCCTTGCCACTTCTGGGGCCCTTTTGGCCGTGGCTGCCCTGTGGGTCCTCCCCATTGCTTCCAACGCCACTCCTCAAGCTCAGGGCTGCCTGGAGGTTGTAGTAGCAGCAGTGGGGAGGACCTGTGGGACAGCCATGATGTGGGCTCTGGGTAGCTAGTCAGAAGGGCCCCGGAGCAGTAAGTACACCTGTTGCTGGGTTCTGCTTTTGTCTGGTGCCCAGCACCAGCTGCTGAAGCTCATCATAGGCAGGCCTACCCCTTGTTGTCTTTCCCTTCCCCACTTTGAACTCCTCTTCATTGCCCCCCATCCATTTCACACCTCCAACACAGTCCTGCAGCTTACATTAACTCCTGCCCCAGGCAATGGAAGCAGCACCAGGTAGAAGCTGACATCAGCTGTGGATGCAGGTAGCAGCTTCCCTTTGAGGATCAGGGCATCCCCCCAGGTCCATAGGTGATGCTATTGCATCAGCACATCAGCTGCAGTCCCAGGCAGTCACCCCAGTCCTTGGCAGGAACCTGCAGGCAGCGTCCACAGCTGATGCCAGCATGCATCCAGTGCTGCTTCCAGTGCATGGGGCGAGAGCTGATGTAAGCTGTGGATGGGGTCAAGATGTGCCCGCCTGTCTGGCATGACATAACGGCCAGAACCGCCAGCTCCCTAAAGGCCAGCTCATTTGACTTAGTGACTTAGTGGCCACTGACACATGGTCTGGATAAAATCAGTTGACAGGCTGGATCTGGCTTGAGGGCCATATTTTGCCCACCCCAGTGTTACTGCAAAACAACTTAGCTGTCAATTTTTTATATATAATTGACTACAAATTTTAATAATCTCACCTTTCAAGTATGACTTCAAATTAGCTCTCACCCATTTTGTATTACAAGTATAAAAAAGAAGAGAAGGCAACACCATAGGATTTTGTCTTCTACCAGCACACAAAAGTAACTCTGAATGCCATTAAATAAACAAAATTATACAACTAGTATCCATAATACCATATGGCAATAGAAGACTGAGTTTTAATAGTTTGCAGGCATAAAAGGAAGCTTAACATTTAGAAGCAGATCCAAAAAGGAAAAAAATATCCCCGTATGGTATAAAATTCAGTTTCATTCATCTCTAAGGGTGAAAGAAAAAGATACAGTGATTACATTTTTACAGTACATTATAAGAGAAAATACAGTAACAGTACAAGTTCTTTTCAATGAATGGTATGATCTCTTAAAATAATGAATTTATCACATTGTGTACACAAGCACTCCGTAAAAAAGAAAAAAAACCCCCAAAGAAATCACTTCATCTCATGTGCTTCCACAAAACACTTATATTGCGTTAGCCTTTCCACCTTCTGCAGGATTCTGTTTAGTTCACAGTACTGGTATGCTGAAGTTTTCCTCTGAAAATATTCCAAGTACCCTATTAGCATGCCTTGTACTGCTTTGTCATGGCAGTCACCATTAACGTAAAAGTTTTGATCAACAACTTTTGCCTTTTTATGTATATCCAGCTCTAAAAATATATACAAATAAAACAAAGGATTATTTTTGACCTAGCAGGCGAACTGGTATAGTGAATCAAACTTTAAAGCTTAAATACATGAAAACTCCACAAGGAAAGTTTTGATGCTGAATATGTACATACATTTGTGTTTTTAATCAAAGGATATAATTAAAAAATGAAATGGTAAGTGTAAAGATAGGGAATGAGACTCTCATGAACACCAGTGGATTTTGGATTAAGCTTTAAAGCCTCATCCCAGTAGGATTACACATGGAATTTTAACCATAAGCATTTAAAATTGACCCATTGTAACATATTGTGCATGTATTTGCAACAGCAGGAGCTAAGTCAGTCAAATAATTAGGAAAATTGTGATCAAATTACGCTAAATAAAGTGAATTGATTTTTATTCACTTGCTGATCTACAGTATGTTCTTTATTCAGACAAGACCAATGATATTCTTCACTGTGAGTGGGGAGAGGCTGAAACCAGACTACCAAAATTGTATGTTATATTTCCTCTAAGCTGAAGCAGAATTTCAGGTTTCTTCTCACTTTGAAAGCTGAGTAGATCAAGTAAAATTTAGAAGGGGGCATAACTGGGTCCACAATCTACATGCATCTACCTGTTAAAAGGAAAGACACAAAAAAAGATCTCTCAGGATATGCCAGTTGGGTGATAGCTCAGAAAGTGAGGCAGAAATATATCTGGGAGAAAGCAAAGAA